GTATCTTTTTATTCTTGATGTATTTTATTCTCCTTATGTACACTGAGAGCATTTACTCTATTCTATTCTATTCTATTCTATTCTATTCTATTCTATTAATATGACATATCTCTCATTTCATTTATGCTTCTGAAATTTCATTTATGCATTTTAATATTATGTGCTAAGTGAAATGTAAATATATTGTTCTATTTCATATGCCATAATGGTTTCCCATGTTCAGAGCCAAATAACTACTATTTTCCTTAATCTTTTGAATCAGTTCTGAGTAAGGAGAGGATGCTTTCAGATAAACATTCAGCAGGTGCAACTTTTCAAATCATTTGATAGACAAAAGTATGCCCAATGCGTTTGCACAAGGCTTTCTATTTTTCATAAATTCCTCCTATTCTTTTAACTGATTAGGCAGAAATTAAATTAATCCACAAATCTAATACTGTAGTAACATACAGTAGTTTCTATGGTGAACGCAGTGAAATGTAGTTTTAGTAGAATATGATTCTATTGAAATTGGAGTTTGATTATTAGATAATTGCAACTCTTTAGGTCAATTGTCAAATATTTCATGTGTTATGAACATGACAAATATTAAAATGGATTTTTCTGCTTTAATTGCCTTTACTGTGTTTGGGGCTTTAAGCACTTTTCCAGTTCTCTGGTAGTTCCCCGGTGCTCCATGATCTTTGAATAATATGGTTTAGTGGTTCAGAAATCACATCTGCCAGCTCCTTCAGAACGGTGGGATGCAATCCATTTGGTCCTGGTGATTTGAATTTGTCTAGAGTGAATAGGTTCTCTTACAATTTTCTTGCCTATTTGGATTTGTATTCCTAATCTATCTTTTATAGTACTGGTTTTGATAGATTGGACTGTTTTTTCCTTTTGTGTAAAGATGCAAAAAATGAATTAAGCACTAACCCTTAGTGAGAAGATTACTGATCGTTTCTTTGTCTTCTTTGTTTTGTTTTTTATATGTTGAAAAAAGCTTTTTAAAAATAATTTTGTTACAGTATTAATTCATTCTGAGCCTTAGCTTTCCTGACTTCATCTTTGCAGGTTCGGGCTATATGTTAACATTCTGTCTGAGTTGTATCTCTCTTTTCACTTTTTATACTTGTCCTTTTTGTCTTTCAGTTTATCACAGAGCTCTTTATGGAGCCATGCTAGTTTCTTATGGGAGAGCTTATTTTTCTTTTTCAAGAAGAAGAAATATTATAGTGCTATAATATCATTTTCAGGGTTCCCCAAGCTTTTTGAGTTGTTTTCCTCTTTAAGATTTCCATCCATGGAATCCTTCCCAAGCACTCTCTAAGTTTGTTGAAATCATTTGCCTTAAAGTTCAAAACTCTAGTTTGATTTTGTTCTATTCCTTATCCTTGCATTATGTTGAACCCCAATTATTGCATGGTCAGTCTCCCCCAAAGTTCCTGTAACTTCAACCCTTCTATCATTCCATCTCTGTTAGTGACAATTAAGTCCAGTATGGCTTGTCATCTAGTTTCCTTCTCTATCTTTTGGATGACAAAGTTGTCTGTTAGGTTGTCAGGAACCTGTGATCTTTCACTAGGTATAGAGTTTGTCTCAGGGTACTTCGCTGATTAGTAAAAATTTCATCTATTTCCTCTGTTTGGTTGGGTAGCCTGTAATATACACCTATGGCTGTGCCATTCTCATTTGCTTTTCTATTAACCCAAATACATTCGGGTTAAAATACACACATTTTTATTGTTGTTTTGTTGCATTTCTATAGAGATGTAACTCCACCTCATTTTTTATTAGTTCTGTTTTCAACAATTTGAATCCCTCTGGCTGTATGTTCTAGTCATGAGTTTCATTCCACCAAGTTTTGATAGTGGCAGTGATGTCATATCTGTCCTCATGTACAAAGATATCAAATTCACTCTGTTTGTTCCTCATACTGTGAAACTTAGTGTATAGGCATCTGAGTCCTTTTTTATTAATTCTGTGTTTGTTTTTTGTTTTTTCCGCAAACCTGCCTTTTTAAATTATTATTATTATTTGATTGGCCTGAATTGTAGAAGTCACCATTTTACTTGTGGTAAAATGCATGGGCACCAACAGAACAGGGACATAAGGGGGGGAGGCATTTGGAATTCTTCTTCTCTCCCCCACCACCTCCCCAGAAAAATTAAAATTTGCTGAACATACTAAGGGGAAGAACAACAGCAGGGGTCAGAAATGATTGATGGGGAAAAAAATACCCAGAATATCTATTCTACCTCCCAAAGTAGGAAATGTTTTTACATCTCCTGTTTTGTGTCTGAGTTCCCTTTTTTTTCTTACCATTTGGTTAATTGCCGTGAGATTTGTGCTTGGAATTAGCTTTTAAAAATTCATCTCCCTCCTCCTCCAGTTTTAATTTAAAGCCCTTTGGATAAGTTCAGCCAGCTGGTCTCCAAAAATATTTATCCCAGTTCTTCTGAGATGTAACCCATCCCCTGCTAGAAGTAGAGCTGCATTGCTAGAAGCAATCCCAGAACTCCTTGTTGCCACTGCTAAACAAATCATGCTAGTTGTTAGGCTAGGACCCACCCTGATCCAATCCATACCTGGCTTGCTCCCTTCTAGCACTGAACCCAGTAAGTTAAAAAACTTACCTCCTCTTCAGCTCCCCTCACCTGCCATTTTGGCTGCCTTACATTCTTCTCTTTTGCTGGCCTTGCTGCCCTGTGCTCTGCTTGCCCTACTGCCTGTCAACCCTCCTGCTCTGCCAGCCCTGTGGCCAAGTGACACTTGCTGTCTTCCTCCCACTGCTGACAAGGTGTACCCAGCTTGGTCGTAGGAGAGGCCTTCTTCCCAAGGCCACTTGCACTGTTCTCTAAATCAAGCAGTACCTTCTCATTATGCTCTGGAAGATCTTGGAAGCTTTCTGAAGGCTGAAAGGAAGGAAGACAGTAAAGGCCAGTTGTGGGTGGCAGGACCAGTGAGGGCAGGGTGGCAGGGCCAGCAGAATGAGTAGAGCACAGACCCAGGATGGCAGGTAAGTGGAGAGCAGGAAGATGGCAACAGCTCAAGCTTTGCGCTATGGTGCTGGGATGGCCAGACACAATTTAAATATTAATATTTTGAGTAATAAATATAAAATTAATGGCAGACAGCTATTTATATTGGTTCATGTCCGTAATATATTGGGTTGGTAGTAGGTTGATCGTTTTGCTAAGATCAAGTGATTTTTTTAAAATTACAATTTGGTGTAGACTTTATTGGGTTGGGCTTAAGTTTTTGAAAATCAGTGAGAATTCTAAATACACATGGTTGTATTACCAAGAGGATACAGTTATACTAAAAAGTAATATCTGTAGTATAAGAGACCTGGAAATAAATTCATTTTTTTCAACAAAGTAGTGAGAAAATAGTCCCAGTTCTGTCTATATGAAAGAGATTATTGTTAGGATGAAGGTTATCAAATGCATTATATACAAAGTTCATGTAAAATTCTATAGCAATAGTCCATATTGTCTTTCTCCACTTTGAATAGAAACTGAGCTGAACAAGGAGCAGGACTTAATACATCCTTAGAACTAAAAGTGCTATTTTGATCTTATAATGCTATAAATACATCCACATGGGATTTCAAACATAAAAAGCCCTTTGAGACCTTGGACTCGTAAAAAGCTTTTATCTAATTAAACTCAACAATATTTATTTGTCCCCAGGCAATAGGCAAAAGATAGCTAGTTTTTGCCTTCAACAAATCATAAATGAAACAAGCAAATGTTCTATTGCTTGAGTTGCCAAACCCACTCTTAATTTTTGTTGGGCAGGAAATAGTTGCTCATCAACTTATATATTATATTTGGCAAACAATGTCCTTGTAAGTAGGTCATTTATAAGATCAGGGTTTAATTTTCTTTGCCATATTACAAGTAAGGCTTTAGTGTCTTACTGTGGTCTGTTCAAACTACATACGCCACAAAAAATACACAATGGACACAGAGAACTACACAAGAAGAAAATATGTATGTTTTAAGTTTTAAGAGAGGCAAATTATTTATTACAGAATGGGGTACAGATCAAGGATTACTTGATTATGGAAGTGAATGGAATAGCACAGAGAAAACATTATGAATTAAAGGTCACTGTTCTGATGTATATTTTTGTATAGAAACTTGTGCACTAGCAAACAAATGCAAAATGACCAGTGATAAATCTTTGATGTCATAATCAAATTGTTACATCTAACATTTTTCCCAAACAAATTTGCTTTGACCAAAATAACACATTTATCCTGAGAATGCAATGTTTGCCCCATAAATACATTTATGGTCTCCAATTTTATATAATAAAATATATAAGGTATTTTAATATCTTGCATTTAACAATTGAGCATTTACACATATTTTCAAAAACAGAAGATTGAAAAGCAAAGCAAAATGTGTATTCCTGAAGCCAGGACTTTCTTTATATTTCTGATATACACAAACTGTACATCTGTTACATATTTGTTATAAATTATAAATCTCAAGAAATGGAGATATTTGAGATTTATCAATCTGTATCAAAATATAAATGCATTAAGAACATTGATTATTATTTAAAGAGGTTGATGTATGAACTGACACATATATTTTAGAATAAAATAATCTGCAAATCAGAGGGTAGTAGATCTAATATATTAAAGGAAATGTCTGTAAAAAACATTTGAAGATATCTCTTTGAATATAATACATAACTGTCAATATAAATGTCAAGATCTAGTTTTTTGTTTTCAACATTCAATATAATTTGTTACATTTGTTTTATTTTGTCAAGAAGTGTTATGCCTTTGAGGACTTCTAAAATGCTACCATTGTCACTTGTGTATCTAAAGGCTGTTTCTGTATGCTTTCCTTTCTTCATAAAAATGCCAACGCTGTTCTTCCAACCAAAAACAATTCCAATTAGCCTATATCCTTACTACAAGTATAACATGACAGTGATACAAGAACAAGTATTGATTTAAACAAAAAGCCATTTTTAAAAACAGTGTTCATTCTTACCAACTCCAGTAGTTATTGATTCTGTGTCAATGTTGTTAGCTTTTTTCTTTGCCACTTCAGCTAGTGCCAATTCACCCTTATCTAGTGCAAAGTAATGGATGTCCTTTAGAAATAAAGCAAAATAAGATTAATCTAAAATGAATCTTGGGCAGGTAACAAAGAAGAATTTGAAAGGTTCTTTATTCCTTCTATCAGATACAGAGTTAGAAATGATGAGACTATATTTATAATTTTCTCTGTGTTTGGAAATGCAGGTTTATAATCCAACTTGAATTTCTTTACTTAGTAATGAATGAAGCAGTAGCCATTAACAGAAAGAATAGAGGTATTCAATCCTGTGGTACAACTAAACTTTTAATAAACAGCTTAGACCTATTGTAAAAACCAAAGCTTTGGCAAATATCTCAGTATAAAGGAAACATGAAGGTATATAATGAAGGTATATTTTTCCTAACATTTCCTAATGATTTGTGATATCCTAATAAATATTTATAACTTTGTTTGCCTTTTTATTCCTGAATGTTTCCAATCTGGATTTTTTACTTTGTTTATTTGAGTCTGAGTCTGAAATTAGAGGCATAAGTAGCTTGGGAAATTTCATTTTATATTCTAAATCAGACCAAATCAGCATTTTACACTCCCCAGGCCACATCTCTCTTTTTGGCTGTCCCTATCAGACCTCTGTGAGGACAATAAATGTACATCATGCATGTAATACAACTGCATTGCTTTTGTTTTGAAGGCAATATTTTTTTAAAAAAATTACGTATTATGTATTGTGTGTGGGTGATGTGGACACACATCAAGGACCTCACCCACACAGGATGTTACGAAACAACCGACTAATCTGCAAACATCAACTCCATCAACCAATCAAGATAAAGATAAAGAGCCTTGGTAGTACAGTGGTTTAAAGCACCCTGTTATTAACACAGCTGCCTGCAATTACTGCAGGTTCGAATCTTACCAGGCTCAAGGTCGACTCAGCCTTCCATCCTTTCTAAGGTAGGTAAATTGAGGACCCAGTTTGTGGGGGCAATAAGCTGACTTTGTATAAAATATACAAAAGTATGAAGGCTATTGCTTAACGCATTGTAAACCGCCCTGAGTCTCCGGAGAAGGGTGGCATATAAATCAAATTAAAAAAAAAAAAGATGTAATAACACAGGCAATCAACCTGCTCACAGCAACAAAGCCAGCAGCCCACACCTCCCCACCAGTATTTATCGAGAGACAGCAGCTCCAATCACGCTTTGCTTGCACAGGCACGAAGCTGAAGGCACCAACCTGAAGATGACGAGTGGGACCTCGTCGAAATGTTGCCAAGATACTCTCAATCTTACACGGGAAAAGACCTGAATACGCCAAGACTTGCATATGTGTGTATATGTGTGTGTGTGTGTGTGTGTATACATACACACACACACACATACATACATACATACATATAATGTAGCGTTTAAATGAATAATTAATCCAACCTGTCTTTTGGGGGGTGGGGGGAATGACACTGTCTGTTCGATTGTGTATTGGAATTTTGAAAAAGAAAATTATAATAAAAATATATTTTTTAAAAAAAAGCCATTTCTTGTTATACCAATCTCCTCTTTTCAGTGGATTTATTAATATTTTTTTATCTTTCTTACTAAACAACACTTCCAACTACAGGGTCTTGTCCCACATTTAAATTCCTCCATGTGGTTATCTATTTCATATTAAGTAACACAATTTATTTATATATGCGTGTACATATTCAGATGTTCTTGGCAACATTTTTCAGAAATGGCATGTCACTGGCCGCCTTCTTAAGGCTGAGAGAGAGTGATTGAACCAAATCACTCAGCTGGCTTTGGGCCTAAGGCAGGACTAGAACTCACAGGCTCCAGGTTTGTAGCCTTAAACATTACACCAGACTAGAATGGAATACCGTATTTTCCGGCATATAAGACGACTTTTTAACACATGAAAATCTTCTCAAAAGTCGGGGGTCGTCTTATACGCCGGGTGTAGTTCTCCTGTAACCAGGCAGACCAGCCCGAAAGGCTCTGACGAGCCTTAAATGGCTCTGGCGATCCCAGCTCTGACAATCCCAGCTGAGTTCCCTGCAACTCAGCTGGGATCGCCAGAAACCACGTAAAAGGGAAAAAGTTTTTTACCTTTTACTCTGAGGATCCCAGCTCTGACGATCCCAGCTGAGTTCCCTGCAACTCAGCTGGGATGGCCAGAGCCATGTAAAAGGGAAAAAGTTTTCCCCCTCCAGCTTGCTTACCTCAGCTGCTAGTCGCAACGCTTGCCTTGCTTTGCTTGCCTGAATCTATTCAGGCAAGCAAGCAACTCCCTGCCTGCAATCAAGCAAGGAGTTAGTTGTGGACTTCAACTCCCAGAATTCCTCAGCCAGCAAAGCAAAGCTGGCTGAGGAATTCTGGGAGTTGAAGTCTACAAGTCTTAAAGTTGCCAAAGTTGGAGACCCCTGTTCTATTGGGTAAGTTTTTTTCCTCTTTGGGAGCTTTAAAAAAAATAGTCAATTTGGGGGTTTTTTAGTTGTTCTTTTTTAGACCTAGCCATTTAAAGTTTAGGAAGTTTTAAATTTAGCTTTCATATAAAAATAAAAATAAAATAAAATAAAATAATATTTGTGCAGCTTTCTGAGATTTAGTGTGTTTCTGTAGTGTTTCACTCCAACTACACAAACACACAAAATCTCACAAAGCTGTATGTGGAATTTTGTGTGTGTAAAGTGTGAAAGTTGGTTTTTTGGACTTTTTGTGGCTGTGTGAGGTTCCTGCTTGTTGCAGGGGCCATTTTGGGTCTAGCACAGCTGCTTTTACATTGTGGGTGAGCCAGTTGTGTTGTGTTGTGTGTGTTTAGAGTGTGAAAGTTTTTTGGGGGGGCTTTTTGTGGCTGTGTGAGGTTCCTGCTTGTTACAGGGGCCATTTTGGGTCTAGCACAGCTGCTTTTACATTGTAGGTGAGCCAGTTGATGTTTTTTAATTTTTATTTGGTGCGCATTGGAAGAGGGGCAGTCTTATATGGCGAGTATAGCCCAAACCCTATATTTTAACAGGAAAAGTTGGGGGTCGTCTTATACGCCCAGTCGTCTTATACGCCGGAAAATACGGTACTTATAACTTTTTCCATATCTTTTATTTATGTTTCCCTACCTCTGTTGAAGGATTATTATTATTATTTTCATTCTATACAAAATTGAGACAACCCAAGATCACCAAAACTTCTATTTTCATCTGAACAGTTCAAAAGTTCACTACTGCTCTTTGTATCAATTCAAACTGAAAACTAACATAAACGAAGCTTCAGAAAAGAAGCCCCCAAACAGAGCTTCAGACAGAGGCTTTTTTCCAGAAGCTGTTTCAGAAGTTTCAGAGGCAGGAAAAAAAAAAAAGCAAGGCACAGAGCTCACAACCAAGGAACCTGTTGCTAAAATTCACCTCTGGGAACAGCTGATTGGGGGTATTCTGGGAGCCCAATCCACCTGCCAATCAGCTTTTTTCTTATTTTCCTCTCCAAAAACTAAGGTGTGTCTTATACTTTGGTGTGTCTTATATTCCGAAAAATACAGTATCCTGATTGATTTCTTAAATTGTAGCTATCATAGACATATCTGCTATAGACTTATATTTGCAGTTATACTTTAATAATAATAAATTTAATAAGCATTTGCATTTAAAGTAGATCCAACAAATGCTACTTCCTTTAAATTACCTAAAAGGGCCAATACAAACTATTCAAGGATTGTGTGTAGCTATTGTTGCCTTCTTAGTATCAAAATCACTTTTTCAGCAACAAGTTTACTTATCCTTCTTATTCAGGGGCTTCTATTTTGCTCAGCTTGGAACATAAAAACAGAGGAACCAGTAGTAGTTTACATTCTGCTGTGCATACAGGAAGAATTTCAACACAGATATCAATACTGAGAGGATGAAGTGAAAGCTTATTAAAGTATCTTTTCATGGACATTAATGAAACCACAGCATGAATGCTAAGATTTTTTGGAATAAAGGAAAATATACTTTAGATTTTCTGAAGGACTCAGATGTCAATAACAAGTCTTTACTCTAGAATGAAGAGCCTGGTCCTCCAAAATATTGCTGACCTATTGCTTCTAGTATTTCTTGGTGGTACTTCCTTGTGCTGCTGGAAACTGTAGTTTAAAATCAGCCAGAAGGCAGATTCTTATGCTTTTAACTACTACATTCCTACCATGTTTTCCCAAAAATAAGACAGGGCCTTATTATCAGGGATCTTATCCCTAAACTGACTGGCTGCTTTGCCAGTGCTGCTCAGGCCACTGCCTCCAGCAATCGTGGCAGCTTTTCGTTACTTCCTGTGCAAACAGCACGAGGTGAGGAGGCGAGGCGGGGGGGCAAAGGGGGGAACATGCCCCACACGCCTCTGTCATCCACGTGGAATGGCCTCGTGGAGGCCGCTCCTGCAAATCCTAGCTCGCTCGCTCCTTCTCTTAGTGGTGAGCCGGATGCGCCACTGCCACTCGGGAGAATAAGAGAGAGAGGAGGTGCTATGAGAGAGCCCATTTCTGACATTCTTCTCCTCCCAGACGACGGCAATGTGTTTAGCTTCCCAAATCTGGCTTGCCAATCTTGGCCGGCAAGGGGGTGTGGCAGGTCAGGAGGGGTGGGGTGGCAGAGAAGCGAGATTCATGGAGTGAGATGGGACTCCCCTTGCCGTCCCCTCGCCCGGCATGGCAGGAGCTGGAAGTCATGTAAGACACGGCGGAGAAGACAGGCAGAGAGACAGACAGGGAGAGAAGCAACAGGAGTGAATATCCTCCTGTCCACTTTTGTTTGGTAATGGGGCACTGACCATTTAGCCAGATCTCAACTCCACAACCTTGGAGATTTGGGAGGCGACTATTTTTTCCTCCTCACTTTTCTCTCTCCCCCTAACTTCATTCTTTAACCAGGAGGGGAGGACGTGGGATGAGGTATTTCTTGCTTCAGATGCACAAGTGGCCTTAAAACACTGCCCACCCTCTCAGCCCTGAACCCAACAACAGAGTGAAATTTCCCCCCAGCCTTCAATATCCAGGCCGCATGAACTGAACCCAAGAGATACAAAGAAGCAGATT